TTGACGTTTCATTAAATTATTATAGAAAGCAGACGATTCGTTGTAGTGTTCTCGACTCTTAATCCTTATCTAAATTCAATTCCCCCACTCTTCCGCGCGAAGCGCGGAAGCTCAGACGTTTTTTTTTTAATTATTAGGGAAAGAAGACGATCCGTAGTACCGTTCTCGACTCTTAATCCTTGTCTGAATGAAGTTTCCCCCCTCCCGCGCAAAGCGCAAAAGCTTAGACGTTTTATTAATTTATTAGAGAAAGAAGACGATTCGTCGTACCGTTCGCGACTCTTAATCCTTGTCTGAATGAAGTTTCCCCCTACCGCGCGAAGCCCGGAAGCTTAGACGTTTCATTAAATTATTAGACAATGAATACGATTCGTTGTACTGCTCTCGACTCTAAACCCTTTTGACGTTTTATTAAATTATTAGAAAAAAGCAGACGATTCGTTGTAGTATTCTCGACTCTTAATCCTTAATTGTCTGAATTCAGTTTCCCCCAATCGCGCGAAGCGCGGAAGCTCTGACGTTTCATTGAATTATGAGAGAAAGCAGACGATTCGTTGTACTGTTCTCGTCTCTTAATCCTTATCTGAATGAAGATTCCACCCTCCCGCGCGAAGCGCGGAAGCTTAGACGTTTCATTAAATTTGTAGTATTTGTTATTAGACAATGAAGACGATCCGTTGTACCGTTTTCGAATCTTAATCATCCCTAATTGTCTGAATCCAGATTTCCCGTGTCGCGCGAAGCGCAGAAGCTTTGACGTTTCCTTAAATTATTTTAGAAAGCAGACGATTCGTTGTAGTAGTCTCGACTCTTAATCCTTGTCTGAATGAAGTTTCCCCCTCCGCGCGAAGCGCGGAAGCTTTGACGTTTCCTCAAATTATTATAGAAAGCAGACGATCTGTTCAACTGTTTTCGACTCCTAATCCTTGTCTGAATTCAGTTTACCCCCTCCCGCGCGAAGCGCGGAAGTTTTGACGTTTTCTTAAATTATTAGAGAAAGTAGACGATTCGTCGTTACCGTTCTTGACTCTTAATTCTTGTCTAAATAAAGGTCCCCTCCCTTCCCGCGCGAAGCGCGAAAGCTTTGGCGTTTCATTAAAATATTAGAGAAAAAGGACGATTCGTTGTGCCGTTCGTGACTCTTAATCCTTGTTTGAATGTAGTTTACCCGAAAATTTTAAACGTCCGATTTCTTTAGCTGATATTATAGGAAAGTCAAACTTCTATAGAAAGTACAAGTATTATAAACTGTTGTAGTCTCTCTCGATGTCGTCACAGCGGATAAAAGTCACAGTTAGTAGGGGCAAAAAAACTTGTCACCGACTTCAAATTCCTGCATTTATATACTATCCGAGGATCGAGCAAAATACCGACACAGCTGACCCGACACAGCAATATGTTTATGCGTGTCTTTCTTGCTCCCTCGACGAGACGACTCCACCCAACAACCCCCTTCTCTTTTACTTCCACCCACATGCACCCTCTCTCAGGCTCTTACCTCCCCTTGTTTCCTTTTCCTCTTTTTGTCTTCCTTCTCTCCTTTTCTTTCTTTTCTCTTTTCTTTTCTTTCCTCTCCTCCCTCTTTTTCTTTTTTCTCTTTTCTTTCCTTTCCTCTCCTTTTTCCCTTTCTTTTCCTTTCTTTCCTTTCTTTTCCTTTCTTTCCTTTCTTTTCCTTTTCTTTTTTTCTTTTTTTCTTTTCTTTCCCTTTCCCTCTCTTTTCCCCTCCTCCTTTTCTCTTTTTTCCCGACGGCAGCGCAATTTTACCGACAATATCCTGACAGGTGGGGGTGTCGCACCCCCACATCCCCCACACCCCCCCCCCTTTCCGACGCCCCTGCTGCTGTGTTATGTTTGTATCCACAAACTGTCCTTCGCAAACATCATCGTCTGGACGCTCAGGGTCGGAGCACAGAAACGTATTTTCCGGTTCGGTGGGTCGGAGGTAGTCTGCAAGCACAAATCCTGGTCAGTCGTAAAAGAGAGTCTGCACTATAAGACCACCATAGGCCATGTACTCTAGCTGCTCCACAACCAGTAGGTAGCTGGGCTTGGCTTCTCTCAAGGCACAATGTTTTTTTTAAAATAAAGACAGTGTCTAATTAGGGTCTGTGCTTGCAGACTAGGTCGGAGGCGTCATGACTATATAAGTCAAGCTGAAATAATTTTGATCTGTGTATGTTGGAGGCTTGGCGAATAACATCAATCAATCAACAAATCAATACTGACCCGGGGGCGCCATACCCCTTATTAAAATGTGGGGTGGGGACACAATGGAGTAAAATATATGTCACGTCAGGGGGGGGGGGGGGATGTGGTCCCTCAGAAATTGAAAGAAAATTGAATTTTCAAACTCTTTGGCGCGATTTGGTGCATAAGTAATAAATGACTGAAAATCATTGACTAGATTCCAATGGACTTTTTTTTTTCCTGAAAGGGGAATGTCCCTTTTACAAAGCCCGGAGACATGATACAATCTTTATTATGTGAAATGATTCCATGGAGTATCTTGATAACAACAGTTAGGTCTGAAATTAGTTACTGCATGTACCTGACTTGTTATTATAACATAAAGATTCTATACAATTTAAGATAATTTGTTTCATCACCTTCGTCAACTTTATTGAGTGTCAATTCATTGTGACACTAAGTAAGACAGAACAAATAAGGCAACTTGTAAGTCATGGCTGTATTTTTTTTTTAAAGGAACTGTATAAAATATTATATAAACTATAAATGAAATGGATGTAAGTGAGTAATGAGTGACCATCTAGATATTGAATATTATGATAACTCTGAAAAATCTCACGATAATACACAAGGTAGCATTCCATTTACCGGTTAGTATGATAACATTCCATTTATCATTAATTGAATGTCTACAAAATGCTCAGTCCACCTCATATTAACAATTAAAAAAAAAAGCTTTAAGTAAAAGCATAAATTAGATAGGTAAACTGTTTTGCTTAAGAAAATGCTTTAAAAATTCCATTCATAACCTATCACTTTAAATATAACACCTGATACTTGCCGCGGCTAGCAAGTTCTCAAGTATACTTACTTACAGCAGCAGCTCCCAAAATAGCGTTTTTTCGGGGGGGGGGGGGGGGGTGAAAATCTCAGTAACACAAATAAGCGGAGGACCAAATTCAGATATCATGCTTAGTTTTTGAGTTGCCTGCCACTACCATACAAACTAAGCACACTTTGTTCATTCGAAAGATTTTATCATAATACACAATACTTCAGAGGTGTTTTTTTCTATTTGTAGCGAACACCCCTAAATCGGAGGGGACGTCAAAAAAGAGGCCCTTATATGATTTTGGTGTCATACATGTATGATACAAAATCAAATCATCTAAATTTTAATACCAATTTCAACGGAATTAGGATTAATTAACACCAAAAATTTAAGTAAAACACGTGATTTTTTCGAAATATTGAATCATCCAAAATTGTTGTTTTCCCTGTATCAACCTCGGAGAGGACTCTTTTTTTGTAACTTTCCAGGAATTTGCTCGTGTACACGGAAAATATCCGAAGTGCAAAGGAGAGGCTTATACATCTTTTCAGTGAACGGAAAAAGTAACCTTAATGTATTGATTTGATTTCCACAAAAACGAGTTTTGTCCACGTGACATAACTGCATGCGTGTTGTAGATGCCAAACTAATGCAAGAGCGCCATCTCTTGTCGGTTTTAAAATTTAATAAGTTTGAGGGGAGAAAAAGCGCGAATAATCACTGGCAGTAACCCTTGGAAACAAGACAGAATTTTAACCTCTTCTCCCTACTTCATATTTCCGTTTTATGATCTTGTTTGGTTTTGGACAACAATTGGAATGGATGCAATCATTGTATAATAACATTGTGATCGACCCGACGTGAGTAACGTGAAATGTGGTTATAGTAAAGGCTTCAAAATTAAAGTTTTCGAGACATTATATTGGTATTCGACAATTGATTTCTACACTTGCAATTGCAATTATACAGTACGGTACGTGGATTGACGATGTACGTGTGAATAGTGTCAGATTGCGAGATATTAAAAGACGGAACGGAGCTGAGAGGAGCGTTGAAACTATAATAAGGTGAACTTGGGTTCTTGGCCAGTCAAAGGTGATCGTGAACAACAAGGGACCAGTGCAGTAGGCCTACCAGTCTGATAAATGAGAATATGACTAGAGAGGTCTATGAGAATAGAGCATGATCACTTGTGGGTGTATATTGAGTCGAAAGAATGACGTGATTGGGCAGAATACAGTCAGAGAATTAATGTCGAGGTCTAAGCCTAGACCTCCAGACCTAGTCTAAAAATGGAGAACTAAAGACAGACTATCTGACTAGACTACTTCAAGGTCATTTTGCACCCACATTCTAAGTTAAAATTCTGGTTTCACAAGCTAACAGAGGAAGGCCTAATGATGTTAAATAAAGAGACTGGTTAGCATTCAGGAATCTGTTGAAAAGGATAAAGAAATTGGAATCCTGAAATATCTACTTGAGATGTAGACGTAGAATCTACAGTGACTAAGACTAGATTTCTAGACTCCAGTCTAGTCTAGCCTATAGAGGTTAGACCAGATCTACATTAGGTCTATATTTAGATGCCCAGAAGGCCAGATGTTACGGTTGATTTGAATGGACAAATGTCAGTCAGAGATTAGCCAAGAATGGAGAATATGTCTACTGGCTACTGCTCTTAATTACAGAAGGCTAGAGTAGTAGAGGGTCTAGTCTAGTGGCATACACAGAGTCTACTAGTGCCTGTAGTGGAGCTATTTCAGGAAGTTTTTGGAAATCAGAAATATGCCGGTTAGCTGCAGCTGATATCGCCTGAGTTACAAGCGGTGCAGAATATGGAAAGAGGCTGGAAAACCTGCAACAGTGAATGTGGTATAGAAGAATAAACACATGAAATGCATACTTGAAAGCCTTAGGTTGACAGCAGCCGTCATGGATACAGCCCCACATTAGGATTGTTGTGTCAGTGGATCAGATCATCATGGAAGGGCAGGATGAACAAGATCCAGCTACTAGTATTCGGATGGACCCGTTACTGCATGATCGAGACCCATGGATGGAAGTCAACCAGCTGTTTGACTCTCCTTCAATGAACGCAGGAAAACATTCAGCGATGGAGAGGGTTGAAGTAGATGACAGTGTATCTCAAGTATCAAGCAAATCAACATCACATTCCAGGAAATTTTTGATGGAAACAGCCATGAAGAGAGCAGAATTGCAAGCAAAGTTGAAGAGTTTAAAAAGGAAACAGGAGCTCGAGAAAGAAGAGCAGGACTTAATTAGAAGAAAGGAGCAACTTGCTGTTGAGACTGAATTAGCTGCAGCTACAGCCCAAGCAGCAGCATTACAGCAGTTCGACGATACGGTAGCTTTTCACCAGCCACCTGCATTACCAACCTTTGCTCATGTAACACGTGAAAGTGATAGGAACCAAACAAGTCACAAAGTCAAGAATGCAGATTGCTCAGAAGAGAGTTCAACGCAAGGACGCAAGAACCGAGAACATTTGCAAGATGTACGAGTAAGTGGAACAAATTCTGATAGTGATGTTGATTGGGTAGAGCTGCAGCGACAACAAACCCAACTTACGTACATGCTCTTAGAATGTCATATGAAGTCCGCCTTACCGCAAAGGAACATTCAGCCTTTCGACGGGAATCCCCTGAACTACCACGCCTTTAAGAGGGCTTTTCAGCATGTAATAGAGTCCAAGACATCGGAGGACTCTGACAAACTATATTATTTGGAACAATATACTAGGGGAAAGGCGAATGAGATGGTCAGAAGCTGCATGTATGGAGGTGATTCCAAGGCAGCATTCAACAAGGCAACAATGCTGCTAGAAAGCAAGTTTGGCGATAAGCATCATGTTCTGGACTCTATGATCATCAAGGCAATGGCATGGCCAAACATTAGAGGTGAGGATCCGGAGGGCCTGCTTAGTTATTCATTGTTTGTGACTGAGCTAGGCAATTTGGCTAAGGACCTACACCTTCAACAGGAGATTGACCACGCACAACACTTGAAGATGGTCATATCAAAGCTGCCGTTCAGGCTGAGAGATAGATGGAGGAGCTATGTCGACGGCATACTCCAGAATCGGGACGAGCCACTCTCATTCAAAGACGTGGTTAGTTTCATTAGTAAACAGGCCCGGATAATCAACAACCCTATCTATGGCAATATTGTAGGACCTGCCAGAGCTGGAGAAACGCAGACAAAGACAAAACCCTTTCCAGGGAAGAAACAGGGCTTCAGCTCCAGCATGAAGAAGAGCGAGGAAGCGAAGTGTTTGTATTGTGACATGGAAAATCACCTTACAGCAGAATGCAAGGCCCTAGGAAAGAAACCTCATGAGGAGAAACTTGCATTTTGCAAATCCAAAGGACTGTGCTTTGCCTGCCTTCAATCTTCACATCTTGCCAGGGACTGTAAACAGAGGACGACCTGCAAGATTTGTCAAAGGTTACACCCCACCCTTCTTCATAGAGATTGGGCACCATCGAAACAAGTGAAAAGGAATGGTGAATCAGAGAAACAACGTACTAATGACGACGTTGGAGCTAATAGGAAGAAGGAGCCAAGCTTGGAAGGACAAACAGAAGGAGAAGAAATTGGAAATGAAAATTTCCCAGACGTAAAGCGCACGTTATCCAACCGCACTTCTATGCAGGACTCCCAACCGGCCATTGTGCCTGTGACTGTACGCTCAAAGCAGACAGGGAAATGTGTACACACATACGCATTCATTGACAACGGGAGTAACGCAACTTTCTGCACAGAAGAGTTAAAAAACAAACTAAATGCCAGAGGAAGAACGCGCACTATCCAGCTTCAAACATTAACAGATGATAAGCTGGTCAAGACCTGCATACTGCAAGACCTGGAGGTAGCTGATGTGAATGAGAACACATATATACCACTTTCTGACGTCTACATACAGCCCATCCCTGTAGACAAGTCAGACATACTGAGAAGGAATGACATTGCAAGATGGCCCTACTTACAAGAAATAAACTTGCCGGAGATCAATGCAGACGTGGGCATCCTCATTGGCAATAACGTCCCTAAAGCAATGGAACCACTGCAGGTTATCAATAGTCAGAACGACGGACCATTCGCTTGCAAATCTATCATAGGGTGGATGGTTTTTGGAAGCTGCAAGCAAGAGAGAAGTGGGTCCAAGATAGCCTCCCACAGAGTCCACGTGATGGAAGATATTCAGCAACAGCTAAATAATCTCTACAACACTGAGTTTTCAGAACGCTTGATGGAAGATAAAGTCGAAGAATCCAAAGAGGATAAACGATTTATGGAAAAGGTTGAAGGATCCATCAAGCTAACACAAGGGCATTACCAAATCGGACTGCCATTCAAGGGAGACGTCGACCTGCCCAACAACAGGCCCATGGCAGAGCAGAGACTCAACCACCTGCAGAGGAAGTTCGCTAGACAGCCGCAGTTCCATAGGGAGTATGCAGGGTTTATGGATAAGGTGCTGAACAAACAGTACGCTGAAAGAGTACCAGAAGACGAGTTCCTTAGAGAAGATGGAAAGATGTGGTTTATTCCTCACCACGGTGTATATCACCCACAGAAGCAAAAAATTAGAGTGGTGTATGACTGTGCAGCTTCTTTCAAGGGCAAGTCACTGAATGACAATCTTCTACAGGGGCCGGACCTCACAAATAGTTTGGTGGGTGTATTAACAAGGTTTCGTCAAGACCGCATAGCAGTAATGGCAGACATAGAAGCCATGTTCTCACAAGTGAAACTGCTAAAGGAAGAAAAGGATCTACATCGATTTCTGTGGTGGCCAGATGGCAATGTCGCTCAACCTATTGAGGAATACCGCATGACTGTTCATGTGTTTGGGGCTAGATCTTCACCAGCTTGTGCCAATTATGCCCTGAAGCGCACAGCAGAAGACTTTGCAGAGGACAAGGTGGCACATATCATCAAGCGCAACTTTTATGTTGACGATTGTTTGTACTCAAGCTCAACAGTCCAGGAAGCTGCAGAGCTATCAGAGGGCCTACAAGAAGCCTGTAAGAAAGGAGGGTTCCACCTCACAAAATGGGTGAGCAATGACAGAAGAGTATTGAATGCCATACCCAAGGAGGAGAGAGCAAGTACAGTGCAGGAGCTAGACTTTGACAAGGACAAGTTGCCAACAGAGAGGGCACTTGGCATGCTGTGGCATACAGATGAAGATGTTTTCAGTTTCAAGATTCAGCTGAAAGACAAGCCAGCCACAAGGAGGGGTATCTTGTCAACAGTGTGCTCCCTGTTCGATCCACTAGGATGTGCTTCCCCAGTGCTACTCCCTGCAAAGCACTTACTTCAGACCCTCTGCCGACTAGGATTAGGATGGGACGAGACGATTCCACCAGACCTGCTGAAAAAATGGGAAACATGGAAAAGAGAACTCCCAAGACTGTCAGACTTTAAACTTTCCAGGTGTTTGAAGCCAGAGGGGTATGAAAACCCAAAGTCTGTGACACTGCACCATTTTGCAGATGCAAGTGAGAAGGGATATGGAACGTACAGTGTCATACTTGCGAATGGTGAATACCAGGGATGAAGTCCAATGCTCATTCCTCTTGAGCAAATCTAGAGTGGCCCCTCTTAAACAGACGTCGATCCCGAGAATGGAGCTTACAGCCGCCACGGTAGCAGTAAGGATAGACAAAATGGTAAAACAAGAACTTGACATCCCAGTAGATGAGACCTTCTTCTGGACTGATAGTACCTCTGTACTACAGTATATCCAAAGTGAAGCAGGGAGGTTTAAGACATTCGTCGCCAACCGAGTTGCCCTGATACAAGAAGGATCTGAATCAAGTCAATGGCACCACATAGAAACTTCGCTGAATCCGGCAGATGTATGCTCCAGGGGAGTCAAGGTAGATCGATTCCTAGCAATGAGATTCTGGAAGGAAGGACCCGAATTTCTTCAAGCTTCAGAGGACCAGTGGCCTAAGCAACCCAGAAATGCATCACACGACGTAAACAATGATCCCGAGGTGAAGAAGAAGAAGATGTACGTTACAGAGGTCTCGGAAGTAACGGCCAGTGAGAGCAAATGTATGGCCACTGCTGTGAGCAAAGAGGAAGAAGATGATGTCCTGGAAAGATTGATCAACCATTATTCAGACTGGTACCACCTCAGAAAGGGAGTAGCATGGCTACTAAAATTGAAAGGGCTGCTGAAAGAGAAAATGAAAGGTCAGCAGAACACACGAGAGAATCCACCCATGTTATTGACAGTGGAAGATATTAGACAAGCTGAGGAAGCAATACTGATACACGTTCAAGACAGAGCGTTCCCAGTAGAGGTTGTGGCTTTGAGGAAACAGGCACACGATGTCAACCAAAGGACAGGAAGGTTGCAGCCAGGGGTCAGAAAATCAAGCCCTATCTACAAATTAGACCCTCAGATGGACAATGGCCTACTTAGAGTAGGAGGAAGACTTAACAGGGCAGCCTTGCCTGAAGAAGCAAAACATCCAGTCATCCTACCAAAGAGAGGACATGTGTCTGAACTCATCTTGCGGCACATTCATGAAAACTCAGGACATATGGGAAGAAACTATGTCTTGGCAAAACTCCAGCAACGATATCACATAGTTGGTGCAATTTCAGCCATCAGGAAAGTCGTCAAGAAATGTGTCAAGTGCCGACGTCAAAGAGGGCGGGTAATCCAACAGAAGATGGCCGACCTACCCATAGACCGACTGAGACCGGACGATCCACCTTTTACACGAGTTGGAGTCGATTATTTTGGGCCGATAGGAGTGAAAAGAGGACGCTCTACAGTCAAGAGATATGGCGTAGTGTTCACTTGCCTCGCCATTCGGGCCATACACATAGAGAAGGCTGATTCACTAGATACGGATTCCTGTATCGCAGCAATTCGGAGATTTATTGCTCGAAGAGGAGCAGTCAGAGAAATGAGATCGGACAATGGAACGAACTTGGTTGGGGCTGAGAAAGAACTAAGAAAAGAACTTGAGAACTGGAACCAGGCCCAGCTCAGCAACTCACTATTGCAAGTAAACATCAAGTGGACCTTTAATCCACCTGGAGGTTCACACCACGGGGGCGTATGGGAGAGACAGATCAGGACGATTCGACAGCTGCTCTTCTTCCTTACCAAACAGCAGACCATGACGGATGAAAGTTTGCAGACACTCTTCTGTGAAATAGAAGGCATTATCAATTGCAGACCCATCACCAGGGTTTCAGACGATGCTAACGATCTAGAGGCTCTGACACCAAACAAGCTCCTGACGTTGAAGGCTACCCCGATGTTACCCCCATCGGTTAGTAGGCAGACCGACTGCTACGCACGACGTAGATGGCGGCAGGTTCAATATCTGGCAGACGTCTTCTGGCGACGTTGGCTGAGAGAGTACTTGCCGCAGCTCCAGGCCAGGCAGAAGTGGGTACATCCTAGTCGCAACATCCAGGTTGGTGACGTAGTGCTGGTAGTGAACGAGACAGCACCTCGTAACTTCTGGCTCATGGGAGTAATCATCGGCATCACTCCAGATCGACAGGGCATGGTTCGACGGGCGGAGGTGAAGACCAAGACGGGCACCTATTCGCGACCCATCAGCAAACTGTGTCTCCTCTTGGAAGGAGATTCATGAGCACTTTGAATTTGTGAAATTGTGATTCCATAAGAGATATACGCTATTGAGACACCTTTTAAGTTTCTTCACGGGACCAACTCATCAAATTTTGGAGCAAGTCAAGTTGGAAATCAATTTTGGAGTCCGTTTGTGATAATTATATGTGTGAAGTAATAAGTGGTGCGAGCCTAGCGCCGCCATAATAAAGCTCAAGTTTCATATTTGGATCAATCGCGAAGCCTTCGTTGGATCACAAGCTTGGAAAATGTTGATTTTAGAAAGGATTATCATTGTGATATATGGTGCGAGCCTAGCGCCGCCACTTCATGTATTTACCAAGTGAAATGTTTTCATTGGACCAAACGCGAATTTGTTCACTAGGAGTCACAAGTTGGACCACTCTGCACCTTCTATTCTGTCGCGTAATCAAGCCGTAGAGATGGCAGCAGAGGCACAGAGTATGCAGATTCGAAAAAGACTAAAAGACTTGATTATTGTGCAAAATCTGGCTATCATGGACTGACTAAGGAATAAACTCAGACTTTGGACATTTAAAAGAAAAAGTCAGATTATTTGAACATGATATAGACAGAGACTCAGTGAAAATGCATTTTATGTATACATGTAGAAAAGATTCTTGCCAATTTGAATGCTATTTCTAACGGTTTCATAAGCATATTTTGTTATTCAGTGAATTGCATTTGAGGAGTGTAAAATGTATGTACAATGTACCTTTGAAATGGTGGGCACAGTGACACAGATGTCTTTTAGAAGTTGAAAGAGAAGATAATAGAAATATTGAATATGTAAAATATATGAATTATTGTTTGATCATCTATGATGTAATTGCTAGAATATGAATATTTAAATTTAAATTTCTGTGACAGAAAAAAGGGAGTAGAAAACAAAAGTCAAATACAAAACTTTGGGTCATGTTCCACTTTTCAGGTAAATATTTGTCAGGAACTCAGGAGAGAAAAATCTTGCATGTATTTAAAATGTCATATGAGATATTTGGAAGCATATTTTGTGTTGCTTTTAAAGTGTAGATTTATGTGAAGTGCATGATTATAAAAGGCAATGGGTTATTATTTTGAAGGATACAATGTAAAGATTTTTTAGGAATCAAGGAATGTATATAATGTGCATATTTGTGTTGACGCAAATATTTGGTGTACAGGTTATTTTAAAGCAGATGCTATTTTGGTTCTGAGACAAAATTTCAAAGAGTTTATACAAGACGATAAAAATTGTATTATGGGCATTAATAGTGCTTAGTGAAGGCAGAACTGTACACACTTGACTATTTTGAAGACGTTAATGTTTTATAGCAAATGAGTTCGTTATATATAATTAGAGGTGAAATAATTTTGCTATGTTCAGATTTAGTGTCAGGATATTTACATTTGGAAAGTTCTTTTATAGAAATGGCAGTGTTTGATAGCATGATTTGAACAAATCGTGTCATTTGCTTTGTTGTTACATAGCTACTGTACATATAAAACGACACTTTGCATGCTTAGTTTGCACGAAAGAAATGCTTTACTGCATTCGTTAGAAGGGACATGACATTCGATTGTGTTGTTTATTTGTACAAATTCTGAAAGAGACAGAAAATAACGAAAGTCCAAAATTATTGCGAACATTGTTAAAAAAGGGATTCAACTCAGTGACAAGAGTTTGAATCAAGACTAGTCATCTGATGACATGTTTCGATAAGGAGAGTTGTTTGATAGTCTTAGTCCACAGTATACTTCTGAATTCAGTGGAACTTGAAAGTGTACACCCTAAAATAAGAGGTAGTGGTTAATCTAGTTCTTAACCATTTAAATCTTTGTTGCGATATTGTGGCTCTCATTGTCATTGTTTTATTGTAGTTTGAGTAGAATTTAGAGTTGGACAGATTTACGACCAAAGCATATTATTGTTACCAAGATTCTATTGATAGCTAAGGCCTGATTTCATTGTGCATGTCTTTATTATATCGGTGCAAAACCAAATTCAGTTTATCTGTGCTATGTATTGGAGTCAACAGTACTTGCCTTTTTTAAGATAGGGCTGCATTGCAGCATTCCAGAGTGTTTTCTTAAAGTGCCAACATCATTTATAGTGAGTTTACAAGTTACTAACCTATGCAAAAATCTTTCATTTTGTGACACAAGCGGGCTTTCTTGTCCAAAGATAGTAAAAAGAGCCACAAGAGGGACATTGGTTGGTTTTTGTTTGACAAACTGATAATAATCAGGAGTATAGACATTCATAATCTATAGTTAAAGGTTAAATTGTCATTGGTATTTTCTAAATGATGGCATTGAGGTGTTTTTGTGTCATGTAGGTGTTGTGGCATGTTAGAGCCACAGTTATGCATATTTTATTGCATTGAGTTACGTGTATATAGTTTGACTTTGAAAAGGTTTTGAGTTTTATTAGCAGGAACTTTTGAAAATAATACAGGAATAAGATTTAATCAGAATGATTCGAGAAAGCCATATGGTTATTATTGTTTTTTGGAAGTATAAGAAAAAGTGTAATTTTCTGTCGGCTTGCCTCTGAAAATTAAGGGGCCGGAAATGTAGATGCCAAACTAATGCAAGAGCGCCATCTCTTGTCGGTTTTAAAATTTAATAAGTTTGAGGGGAGAAAAAGCGCGAATAATCACTGGCAGTAACCCTTGGAAACAAGACAGAATTTTAACCTCTTCTCCCTACTTCATATTTCCGTTTTATGATCTTGTTTGGTTTTGGACAACAATTGGAATGGATGCAATCATTGTATAATAACATTGTGATCGACCCGACGTGAGTAACGTGAAATGTGGTTATAGTAAAGGCTTCAAAATTAAAGTTTTCGAGACATTATATTGGTATTCGACAATTGATTTCTACACTTGCAATTGCAATTATACAGTACGGTACGTGGATTGACGATGTACGTGTGAATAGTGTCAGATTGCGAGATATTAAAAGACGGAACGGAGCTGAGAGGAGCGTTGAAACTATAATAAGGTGAACTTGGGTTCTTGGCCAGTCAAAGGTGATCGTGAACAACAAGGGACCAGTGCAGTAGGCCTACCAGTCTGATAAATGAGAATATGACTAGAGAGGTCTATGAGAATAGAGCATGATCACTTGTGGGTGTATATTGAGTCGAAAGAATGACGTGATTGGGCAGAATACAGTCAGAGAATTAATGTCGAGGTCTAAGCCTAGACCTCCAGACCTAGTCTAAAAATGGAGAACTAAAGACAGACTATCTGACTAGACTACTTCAAGGTCATTTTGCACCCACACGTGTATTATTGTATTGAGGACGTGTTTGGTGTGTTTACATCGAGTTTTAAAGATAACTAAAACCTCTAATCACCATGGATCTGGTGTCAAAAGATGAATACAAAAAATACCTTCAAGTCAATATCAATTTCATTGAGTTATGTAGTGTGTGAAATATAAATTTGAGTCGAAAAGGTGCTTTTTCGTAAATATCTTTTCCCTCTAATTTGGGCCACCGTGACTTATTTTATCTCGTTATATTAACTGGACAAAAGTGATTAGACATTTAATATATAGCGGGGGCTGTTAGGAATATTTTGGTGCAGATTCTTCTAAAGCACCACATTTGGCCCAGAGGTAGATAATACCATACTATTACGATTTCTGCAGGACGCCAAGAAGGGCGCTCTCTGGGACTGCCATATTGGGCAAATCCAAAATGGCCGCCATCTGAGTTAAAGGTCAAGCGTAGTTCCAAAAGGAAAAGCGCTTGTATGATAATAGTTTATATATTTCTAGAGTTTTGGGGGTTAGAGAATCTGATTATAATGTTCTTTCATTGATCTGAGGTCTCTTTGGGGCTGATATTGGTCATATTGGTCAAATCCAAAATGGCCGCCATCTGAGTTACAGGTCAAGTGTAGTTATGAAAGAAAATGGGCTAGTATGATAAAAGGTTATATATTTATGGGGTTTTCTGGGTCAGAGAATCTGATTATGATGTGCTTGTATCAATTTAAGGTCTCCTTGGGGCTGTCATGCTGGTCGTGTTGGCCAAATAAAACAATGGCCGCCATCCGAGTTAAAGGTCAAGCGTATATAGTTTCAAAAGAAAAGGACCAGTATGATAAAAGTTGATGAATTCATGGGGTTTCCGGGGTCGGATAATCTGATTATGATGTTCTTTTATCGATAAGCGAGTTCGTAATTGCATACTCCTCATGCGCCAAAATCGGGAACGAACTTTTACAAAGGTCACATGAACATAAAGAGAGCTGAGAGAGGAACTGTAATTTGTTTGTGTGCTGGCCTTTCCTTTGTGAATGATCACATCTGACACATCAGTCACCGAAAATCATTTCTGAATGTCGGAACTGGTTCTTTATAGTAAACTTTACTTGGAATATGGTCATCGGTAAAGTATTAATATGGCACAGCTTTAGGGGCCTGGAAAAGCCCCTCCGGGGGGTTCCGGGGCAGAGCCCCAGGATGCCCTCGAGTTAATTTGACTTTCAAGAGAAAGGGTCTCTGAGATATAAAGAGAGCTTATTTCTTAAATGAAGTGAAAGGACTCTTGATAATAAAATAGCCCTTTCATTTCATTTTAGAAATAAACTCTAATCCATCCCTTGATATTTAAATTGCACTACTCCTACTTTGTGCTTTTTTCACACTCTCCCTGATAAGGGTGCTTTCTTAATTTGATTATCGACATAAGCAAAATGCTATAGGCCATGAACTTTTCGGAGCGTGAGCAGATTCAAAGTATGCTTAAATGGGGGCATTGATGTACCGTAATTAACGGTGTATTAACCGCACTTTTTGCCGCCGAAAAAAAAATCAAAGTCGGGGGTGCGTCTTATACTAGGAACAGATTCGATTAATGCCCCTCCCGCCCCCCCCCCACTCAGTGTTATTTAGGGTACGCATATGCTCGTTCCCTATTTTTTTAAAGCACCCCATATCTGAGGACTGCCAGCATTTTCGAACCCCCCTTTCGCGGGCTTTTCGCGGCCTTTTCCTGCTTTG